GGGGCGGGGCTGCTTGATATGTCCCGCCCTGTCTTCCTGTTTCAGTTAAAATGATGTCAACACATAGAGTAACGCTGCGTGTTTCTAAGCATTTCAGGGGACCTTTAATGATTTTTTTATTTGGCAATTATGTTTCCTGAAAACCGAACAACGCCAGTGCTGCGCTGCCTTTAAAGTTTAAAATATTTTAATGTTATCTTTGATTTTATCCTCAGTAGCAAAAGTGCAAACAGATTTTGGAAGTTCATTTTTAATTCAGCGAATCGTTTAAAAATTCAAGTATCATCACTCAAAATGTTCCCATGTGGCATTTCTCATGCTTTAAAATGTTTTAGTAAAAATATACACTATGTACACTGCCAGTCAAAAGTTTGGAATAATTATGATATTTTTATGTGTTTGAAATAAGTCTCTTACCAAGGCTGCACTTTTTTTTTATAAAAATACAGTAAAAACTATAAAAAATATTTGGAATATTATTACAATTTAAAATAACTGTTTTCTTTTTTTTTTATTTTTTATTTATTCCTGTGATCAAAGCTGAATTTTCAGCATCATTACTTCAGTCTTCAGTGTCACATGATCTTCAGAAATCATAGGAATATGCTGATTTGATGGATTCGAAAACGGTAAAACTCAACTGTTTAACTCTAGGGGAGTTGGAAAATGAGCCTATTTTCAAAAATAGTGGAGTGTTCCTTTAAGAAATGTGTATTATTATCAATGTTGAAAATGGTGAGCATAAGAGACTTCTTTCAGAAATATCTTAATTTTTCCAGACTTCTGACCTGCAGTAGTGTACAGTATGTAAATATTGCCATTTATAACTATGGCGTATATAAATAAAAATGACTAAATGTAATTCTTTCACTTGTTAATTTATAGAAAAACAGTGTGGATGTCTTAATTATTTTTAATTACATTTACTCTATTTTAATTATTGATTTAAAAATGTTAATATTTTCGACAACAGTGGCTGTTTGTTTGAAATGATTGTTTAAAACAATTTCAGAGAATATAAATAAATATCAGGATTTATATTTAAATTCATCAAAGCCTTACATTTTAGCTACAGTATATCACCCAGCTTATATAACCTTCTGATATAGCTCTGAGTTGTTATTTACAGACATACACCTGCTATCATTAAAATGCTCTTCCCTGTTTTCTTGTAGAGATGTCCCTAGAATACCAGAGAGCACACATGGACAACTTGAATCAAGTAAGTTTAGCTAGTTTTGATCTATAAAACGTATCAAAACTTTAGCACTGCATTTGCCAGCAGGAGGATCAATTTAAGTGTTCTTTGCCAATTTTTCAGGTTCAAGTTCTTTTGAATCCCAAAAGATGGGCCCGTCCATCTCTGTCACGTCCCCCATGAGTCCTGGCATGCTCCGGGACAACCCTCAGTATCTGTCCGGACAGCTCTCAGTGAGTCCCAGCGTCTGTCTGCACATGTGCCTGATCTCTGGACTTCTTCTGCTTTTCTTTGGCCGCTCGTCTCAGGGCTTCACTGATGAAATGCCGCGCTAGCTTTGAGGTTTAGCGATTATTTCACATGTCTTCAGGGAGTTTGCCAGTGTTCACTGTTCATTTACACAGAACGTATCATGGCTCATATCAAAAGGCCAAGTGGTTCTAGGAGATACGATGACATAAGACCTTAAAAGAGCGTGTGCAGAGTTGACAAATGGACACGGACTACTTTTTTAACATTAAGAATCTAAGTTATAATTTACACTACTGTTCAGTAGTTTGGGGTCAGTAAGATTGTTTTTTTTTTAAGAAATGTATACTTTTTTGAGAAAGGATGCATTAAATTGATCAAACGTAACAGTAAAGACATTTCTAATGCTACAAAAGATTTCTGTTTCAAATAAATGCTATAAGCAGCACAGCTGTTTTTAACATTGATAATTATAAGAAATGTTTCTTGAGCTGTAAATCAGCATATTAGAATGATTTCTGAAGGATCATGTGACACTGAAGACTGGAGTAATGATGCTGAAAATTCAGCTTTGATCATAGAAATAAATTACATCTTAACATATATTCACATATAAAACAGTTATTTTAAATTGTAATAATATTTTACAATATTACTATTTTTTTTTTACTGTATTTTTGATGAAACATTTGCAGCCTTGGTCAGCATAAGAGACTAAAAATCTTACTGACACCAAACTTTTGAACAGTGTATTTAGAAGCAGACAGAGTACGTATACACATTTATATTTTTTATTTCACTGGTAAATATTAATGTTCTTCCAGTGTGACAAATTCTATATACAGATATTTCAAATGGTCATTGCAGGCACAATAATTATAATAACATTTCCACATAAATATTGCACATTTGATTAATTGTAAGAGTTAAATCTCTCCCTCTTCCTAATTTACAATCATAAAAATGCCTTATTTACTTGCTGTTGGTGTCCTAATTAACAAAATATTTGAGAATTCTCTAAAGATTGCGCAATTAGAAATGGATATCGTGAGTCACTCCACAGGACTCAGTATTAACAATATTTTATTAGTATAATATTACTAGCACAATATGTAAATTAATGATCAGCCTTTTTCAGGTTGTGCTGGTGTATTAGAATTGTAATTCTATTTACCCCGTTCATTTTGATACTTGATTTTGACAGGTTTAGTGGAATGTTAAATGCTACAAACATTAGAATGTAATTTGAACAGATAATGCTATTTTAAAATCTGTGTTCTGAAGTTAAAGTGAGCAAAATCTAAGATATTTAAAAATATAGAATAATACAATATAATAAAATATTAAATAACGGACAGTCACATCAGCTGCTCATAAACCTCATGACGTCTTGCATTTGCTAGTCAGGTGTGTTTTCTAGACAGTGTCCGTCAGACCAGCTTGGATCCTGGAAAGAATCCTGACAGGGAAAAAGTATTCTTAGTTTTCAAGCTTGTTACCTGACTGACGTAGACTCTGCAGGTCAGCTCTGACACAGCTCTGCAGATCAGGATGTTAGGTAATCGCACTTCCTTGAAAGACTAGCTATTGTACTTTCTGCTCAAGTTGTTGCGTTTACTTGAACCATCAGCCTCGATCTTAACTGCAGTTGGAAACGTAGCGTATAAATAATTCACGCCGTTTGCGTTATCAGTGTCTCTAACTGTACGCCTGAGACGTCTGCGAGGTAAGTTTGACCCAGGTGTTCGTAGAGTACAGTAAAGTGCTTCAGGCGTGGAAACAGATTAGCCATTATTGTGCCTTTTAATTGTTTAATAGGGAAACGAGCTGTAGCCACGACTGTAAACATGCTAAACGTGGAGAGATTGTTAAAAAAGGAAATGCTGATTAATAATAATAATAATGTATGTGCTTTTTCTGTTTTTGCGCTGAAGTGTATCTGTTCTTCTGTCCAGGCGATGCTTTAGTGTCTCACTATGGTGTGCGCTGTCGTAAATTTGATTTCTTTTTGTTTGGAATGAGGGAGATTTATCCTAAAATATTGAAGTCAGAATACTTAACACACACACACACACACACACACACACACACACACACACACACACACACACTGATCATTGCGGTATGTTGTTGTTATTGAGAAACACAACCAATGCATTCAAATGTTTTAGTCGCAAACTTAAGGGTAATCATTTAATAGTTTAAAGTAACATTTGTTTTACTCTCTTTTTAAATGTGGTATTGTTTTTTTTTAATTAACATCGGAAGTCTCTTTAAATGTTAAAACCGAGTTTAAATTAGACAAACATTTTTCATTCTTTGTCACGTAACATGGAACTATATTTGTATTATATTTTTTAGAAAATAGTTTATATGAATGGTTCATATGTTGGTGACACTTTATAATAAGTATAGAGTAACGAAATTATTTGCAAACTATTATATTATTGATAATTCATAATTTATAGACTGTAGTCTCTACATTGTTAATACATTAATATGCTATGTACAAATAGTGAGTTCTTCATTCATTGTCACAATAGTTAACAAATGATTATTGTTTAATCGGCTCATATGTAAAGAGTTCTGTAATGTTTTATTATCGTTTGTTAACAACTTGTTAAGCATACCTAAGTGATGTACAGTTTTTAAACCAGTAGTAAAGGAGTTGTTAATGGTTATCAGGAGTAAATAATTCTCACTTTAGATTAGGTCACAGAAAAGGCTAAATTAAAGGCAATAACCTGCCTTTATTAGACATTAATTTTATTAATACCAAGTGTTCCTACAATGTTTACAAATACATTTACAAATACAAGCATACATGTGTATCAGTTTATTTTACACATTACACAATTAGTTCTTTACTATAAACTAATAACTTTATGATGTTTTTGTGAACGTTATTTATTTATTTTTCTCGTAATCCTACCTCAATCCTAAACTTACGTAACTGCTTTTCAAAAAATACTAAAAATATAGTAGGCAGAAAAATGTAAAATGACAGTCGAGCCGCGTTCGAAGCTGTTGTAAATTACTCTACAAACATACACCTTAGTTTACTTCTGTGTGTTACTGATTCTGAGGAACTACATTGTTTGGTGGAAGAGTAATGTTTTTATTAATATCATTACATTTTATTTGCTCTGTTTTATTCTATGAAACCTAACTACGTATATGGAATAACCATTTTATAAAAGCAATAAGCCCCGTGAAGCCGTGGTTTACAGTGAATTTAGAACAGCTAAGGGCGTTTTAGGCACTCCGCTTCATGTCATGTCTAACATCGCCCCTTAGCTGTTCTAAATTCACTGTAAACCACGGCTTCACGGGGCTTAATGCTTTTATAAAATACATACAATCATGAGATCATGTTGTAGTACATCAGTTAGCGTTAGGAAACAATGAGTAGAAAACAAAGGATAAAATCACATTATATAAGCTAATTAAACAATAATTTGTAAATTATGTGACAATGAATCAAGGACTCACTATTTGTACAAAACCTATTAATGTATTAACAATGTAGAAACTACAATTTATAAACTATGAATGAACTAAAAACTAATAGTTTGCAAATGATTTATAAGTATTTTATTACTGTGTACTAAGTGTTGCCTGTATGTTTTCCTAGTTAATACAATTTCTGAAAAAAAACAACATTAAAGATGTTAAGTTTGGATCAGTACTATCAAATATTATGTTCTGTGTTACAGTGAAGAGATACAGTATGCTAATTGCACTTTCAAAATATTGACATTGGGCTGTAAAATCGATTAATCGTGATTAATCGCATCCAGAATTAACGTTTGTGTTTACATAATATATGTGTGTGTGTATTTATATGTATAAAGACACAAACATATATATGTACATATTTAAGAAATACATGTAATAATATGTGATGATAATAAACAAACTTTTATTTTGGATGCAATTAATCACAATTAATCGATTTTACAGCCCTACATTGACATACTGTAAAACCGGTAGTGATGCGTCTTAATGTGGCAGGTTTGAATATTTTAATTTATTTTAAATATATTTGTTATTTTAAACGTATTTTAAATACTAACATGTGTTGTGTCACTGTGTTGCATTATGAAGTATGTTTTGACACATTTCAGTACTCACATACAGGCTTAAGTTTATTTATGCTGTACGATTCTGGTAATGTTTGAGTATGAAGCAGTCTGATAATTGAATGAAAGCTGTCTTGCGTCACTCAGTTAGGCTAAATCTCTTCTCAGATGGGTTGTTTTGATTTGTGTGTCTCTGTGCAGTTTTGGTTTAGTTGTATTGCTTTTGTTTTCTTTGTTAATTTTGCTTATCCAGAGTCCATGCCTTAGTAGAAGAACCACGCCTTTTGTCCCTAGGGTCCAGGTAACATCGTCAGACTTCTCTCTCTTTCTCTGCTCAGTCTCTTTTTTATCTTTTCTTTCATTTCTGGCAGTCTTTCTCAATCCTTCATTACTCTCACTCTCTCTCTCTCTGTGCATTATTTGGAAAATGCACTGCAGGAAAACGGCAGCATTCCAAGTTTCTCCCCCTTTGCTCTTTTGTTCAGATTTTATTTTTTCCCCCAAAGTTATACGTCATTGCCCTTGCGATTTATAACCATAATTCATTATTACAGTATGAATTTTGCTTAATTAATTGGACGGCCGTCTTGCTGAGGCTGAAATATTCTGCATGAATTACTGTATACTGTTTTTAATCGTTTATTTTTTTTCCTCACTTTTTAAATGTGGCATGTTTTTAGCATCGCTTATTAAAGTAAATCTCTTTAAATTTTAAACAGATTAATTTTTTTGGCAGATATTTTTCATTCTTTGTCATGTAACATGGAACGTTATATTTGTATTATGTTGTATAGACAATAGTTTGTATGAAATGCATATGTTTTCCTAGTTTAAATTTAGTATGAGAAATTCATGGTTTTATAATTGTTAGTACAAATGAAGTCCGGTTTGGATCAGTGCTATCAAATATTATGTTCTGTGTTACAATGAAGAGATACAGTATGTTATTTACCACACTTTTGAGATAATATTGCATTTTCCAATGTAGAGAATTTCTCTAAACCTCATAGATAATAAACAAATTGTACCAAAGATTATTTAGGCAAACCTGTATGACCTTTTTTCTTATGTGGAATGCAAAAGATTAAAATT